GCAAAGTTCATTTTCCACTTTTACTGTATATGTATTGGCGCATGATAAGTTAGTGAGAATGAACGAACTATAAATCATGAAACATCAACATAGCTACAATACTCGAAACTACGAAACTATAATTACCAGGTAAGCAGGAGGATAGCTTATAAAAACATATCTATGTGTCCTCTCCTACTGTTTTGGTACGAATCTAACTTAGCCGAACGCAAGGTCTGACGAAATATAGACACAGTGACATGTCTTTAATCTATTAGAAGTTGTTCGCCACAACCGCTAAGTCTAATCGCTAAGTCTAACCGCTAAGTTTAATAGCTAAGTCTACTCGCTAAGTCTAACCGCTAAGTCTAACCGCTAAGTCTACTCGCTAAGTCTAATCGCTAAGTCTAACCACTAAGTTTAATAGCTAAGTCTAATCGCTAAGTCTAACCGCTAAGTCTAACCGCTAAGTCTTATCGCTAAGTCTAACCGCTAAGTCTAACCGCTAAGTCTTATCGCTAAGTCTAACCGCTGAGTCTAACCGCTAAGTCTAACCGCTAAGTCTTACCGCTAAGTCTCACCGCTGAGTCTAACCGCTAAGTCTTATCGCTAAGTCTAACTGCTGAGTCTAATCGCTAAGTCTAACCGCTAAGTCTAACCGCTAAGTCTTATCGCTAAGTCTAACCGCTAAGTCTAACCGCTAAGTCTTATCATTAAGTCTAACCGCTAAATGACAAAATTATTATTGATAGAAGGTCAATTTTCATTAAGGATTGGTATAAAAAAGGAGTTATTAATATAAATGACCTGATTAAAGACTATAATTCTGGTTCCTTTTATACAGTTCAAGAATTCACTCAAACTTATCAAATACAGACTAATTTTCTCCAATATCACAGTGTTCTTTCTGCAGTAAAACATTTCAACTCTAATCCAGATTTTCCTAAATTAAGACTGTTATGTCCTTTTATTCCTACACACTTAGAACCATTCTTTAAAAAGTTTAAAGGTTCCAAACATTTTTATAGTATCCTGGTAAAAAATAACATTGTTCCATCAGGACAGAAGAAATGGAATAGAGTCTTTGATTTTAGTAACTTTTCTTGGCATCAGATTTTTAAGCTTCCCTTTGCTATAACTACTAATAC